TTTCCTTTGAATGTTATCTCTTTTTCTGACTCATAACTTAATATTCATATGTGGACTACTACAGGTTTATATCAGTTCTGTAATTATATGGAAATATTGACAGTCAATTGCTGTGGTATTATTTTGAAAAATAAAATGTGAGAGGAGGGGAGATTAACTGTTTATATTATGAACTGTGGATGAAATGTAATTTGCTTTTATTTTAAAATTTAAACTTTGCTAACCAAGCTCTCTTTTTACTTTTAGCACTCTTTAGGAGGAAAATAATTAGTTATTACATTAACTTTCTCTAAATTCATCATACTTTTTTTAAATGGGAAAAGAACATACTTTCAAGGAGGAGAACCCTCAAAAATCCCCTTACCTGGAGTGCTGATCAAATAAACATAAAATTGTATTCAGTATACCATGTGTGAAAAGTAGTCAAGTCTTTTCAGTCATGATAAGATATCAGCTGGTTGGCACCTTGAACAGCTATCAAGAATATGCCGTAACAAACTCTTAAAGACAGAACTATTTCTATGCTCCTTGGTTTTTAGGCAAGACACAAGTGGTGGTCAATATAGGTTCAATTTAAATTTGAATTTGATCTTAGAGATAGTAAGGAATACCATGCAATCTGTAATTATCTCCTCCTTCTCTCTAATAATTTGAAAATAGGAAATTTGTAACTAGCCTCTCATTTGGGTTAATTGTTTTTTCCTGTTAATTCTTCTGGTCTTTAGCAAAGGAGAGGACAATTTAAGTATTGAGGACAGTAGGCTTAAACTTAAGCCATAAAAATGACTTAATGAAAGTAGCTTACTTTCTTACTCAGAAAAATTACTCTGATACAGGGTTACTTCTTGAAAATTGTAAGAAGCTAAATTAGTTGAGGATAAGTATTTGAGCTTTAAATAAATGATTATTTTCTGATGTATGTCATTTGTAGGAACTATTGGCTCCAGAAAATCAAATGTTTCTCTTTCATGAACCATTTTTAACTTCATTCCTGCCATAAGTGTAATAAAGTTAAAAGGCATAAGGATGGTATCATATTTTAAAAATAAATTCTAATATATGCTATCTGGAAAGAAATTTTTTTTTTCCAGAAAAAGAAAAACAGAGAAGTGGGGCAAAGAACCCTTTATCACCTTCATGAACTTCTGGAAACAGAACCTTTATTTGATTATTATGACCTCTCTCAAATATGCACATCACCATCATCACCTTTTTGTGTGCTTATTACTTTATAAGTTATGCATTTTTTCTCCACAAACATAAGCCAGGTTCTTTCCTGTTCTCCAGAAGATAGAGGAGTCAAGAGGCAAAAAGCACGAAGTCATAGGCAGTTGGGGCATGTTGCAGAAAAAGTATATGTATTGGAAGTTTTAAGCTCTTCTAAGCTCTGTTTATACAGTATCAAAATCTAGCTAAATAGTGATAGATTCCTTCATCTGGAAACTTATACTTATCATGTTTAGAGGTGCATTAAAACAGCTGCAGATATTCTTTCCCAGGAACTTAGTGGTATGCTCTAAGTGCATGTAGTCTTTTGAGTCATTTCTTTGAATTTGAGGGTCTGTTGGAGAAAGATAAAGCATTTGGAAACCTTTCCTGTTACAGGAATTTATAGTAAAGTAATCATGTTTTGAAAAAAAGAGAAAAATATGTTGGGATGACTATTTACAATAACAATTTCAGGCGTTTTATTGGATATTTTTAATTTCTTAGAAGAAATTAAGTATAAAACTTTAGTTTCTGTTACCATAGCAAAGATCCAAGGATCAAACAGTAAAGTTCCACATGCTTTATTTACCTAATGTGTTTTTCTTGTGGAATCTCTTGGCCCTTTTTGGGTATTCTTTTTAATGTTTCAAAATGCCTATCACCTATTAGAATTAATGATGTTATTTTGCCATTTCTTTGATCAAATTGCGTTTTTATTTGTGCCCAGTGCAGACTAATTTTGATATTTGTGTTCTGGATATGTTTACTATAAAAATACATTTCATCTTTGATTTAGTAATTGGAGATGTCAGGAGTAAAATGGTAAGGCAAGGAGGGGGGAATTCACTATAGGGGAGTAATCCTTTACATTCTGGAAAGGCAGCATTTCCTGTCCTCACAGAATTTGAGAACTGAAAAGGGCTTTAGCACCCATTCTTTGTATCCTATTGTAACATACCAGACAAGTGGTTATCCAGCCTCTGTTTGAAGACTTCCAATGAGGAGGAACCTAACACTTTTTAGAAGCAGCCTAACTCTAATTGTTGGGAAGTTTTGGTTTGGCCCTCTGGTAAAACAGAACAAATTCTCCAAATGACAGTTCTTCATTTACTTGAAGATAGCTATCATGCTCTCTGTGAGTCTTCTCTTTTCCAGGCTAAACATCCCCAGTTCCTTAAATTAGTCTTCATGTGGTTTAGATAGACTCAAGGATCATTACCAACCTTGTTGTCCCCTTACAGTAGATACTCTAGTTTAATTGGACACAGATGAAGTCTGATGATGGCAGAGTATAGTGGGTCTATCATCTCCCTATTCCTGGAAGCTGTGCTACTCTGAATGCAGCCCAGTGTTGAATTAACTTTTTTGGCTACCACATCATATTGCTGACTTATATTGAGCATACAGTCCACTAAAACCCTCAGATCTTTTTCAGAACAACTGCTACCTAACCGTCCCTCCCCTGTTTTGTACTTGTGAGGTTGGATTTTTGTATCCAGGTGTAAGATTTTACATTTCTCTTGATAACCTAAAGTTAGGGTACTTTTAGATTCTGATTCTGTTGTCCATTGTGTTACCTGTCCTTTCTAGCTTTGAGTCATCTCCAAATTTGATGAGAATGTCATGTATGCCTTTCTCCAAGTCATTAATAAACTGTTAAGCATCATAGGGGAAATCACAGATTTCTAAAGTATCTCACTGGAGACCTCCTGTCACACTGACATTGAACCATTCTCTTTGAATCTAGTCATCCAACGAGTTCTGAATCCACCTAATTGTTATCTTATCCCTATTCTTTCCATGAGAGGAGTATAAATTAACCTCATTAAAATCTTACTCTACTTATGCATAGTATTCCCCTCGTTTACTAGTTTAGTAATCCTGACAAAAAAGGAAGTACAGCTATTCCAGCATTATCTGTTCATTTTCAAGTTATCTTTTAAATCATCCTTTCTAGAATTTTCTCAGAAATTGAAGTCTAGTTAATGGTGAACTGATGGTTTGCAGATACTATTCCCCCTCTCCCCTTATTCAGAATCAGGACATTTGCCATTCTCCACTCTTGTGCCTGTCCCATTTTTTATATTCTTTCAGATGTTACCTCCAGTAGCTCAGCAACCACATGTGTCCATCCTTTCATTCTCAAGGATGTAGTTCATATGAAACAGGTGACTCTTAATTTCTTCAAGGGTAGCTAGGTGCTGTCTTAGTGTCTCTTTTCTTTTTATTTATCTTGTGTATCAACTACCAGCTACTTATTTGTGTTCTGTCATTTCCAGTACAGAATTTGTTCTTCTTAACAGAGAAAAAAGAAATCAGGAATTGAGCAGCTCTCTACCTTCTCTCTGTTGTCGGTTATTGTTCCATTCATTTTTTAATCCTCTTTTTTCCCCCTCAGTATGTCTTTAAAAAAACAAAACCAGAAATCTCTTGATTGTGCGTAACTGTGCTCATAAGCTCTAGCTCATTTTGAGTTTTGGCACTTCCGACATTTTTAAAGGGTGGCCTGAGCCACATTGCACTCATATTCCCCTACCTGTCCTGATTCCAATGAATCAACATTACTTTTAAAAATCTTTTGTTAGTGAGTTCCCTGTTCATCACATTTGTATCTTCAGATAAATGCCATTTTTTCCCCTCATTGGAATTGTTTCTGTTTTTGATTTGAGGATTCCCATTCTTGGAACATCTTTTAGGCTGACTTTCTCTGTAGCATTTTAGTCCATTGGATTCTGTCTTTGCTATGAAACCTGTTTTTCCAAAATCTAGGGTTCATGTCAAATGTGCTCAGAATCTGTTCCAAATCTATCATAAATTTGAAGAGGTAACTTCCTCCCAGCATTCCCATCATTTCTACTCCATCAACTGGTAGCTTCCACTTAGTGGGAATCAAATCCATGATAGAATTTACCTTTTTTTGGTTCCTCCATCCCTTGAAGAATGAAATTATTGCCATAAAAACAAATTAGAAAGTTATTAGCTGTTCTACTTGGGGGGGGAAAAAAGGCCAGAGGAGCTACAGCAAATGTTTGAATAATTGGCAGGCTTGTGGCGTGCTTCCCAGATTTTCATTATTTCCTCTTTAAGTCCAGACAACCTGTAGTTTATTTCAGTGGTCAGTCACTTCTGTTTCTAGCTTAAGAATAAACTTCTGGATTAGTTGTTGCGTACATCAATGATGTTATTGATCTGTCATCATGTGGATAGATGCTTTGAGTTGTTTTTTCACCATTGGCAAAAGCTATCCTCATACTGTGTGGAATCCCTTGTGAATGAATTGATTGGATACAGTTAGAGCTATGAAGTGAATTTTTCTCTGTCTAAAATTAATTGGGCGTAGGATTCAAACCTATACTTCATTAGCACTATGCTGTGACCAGTTACACTAACTAGCCCTGAGTGAAACAGAACACCATGAGATATTTAACCTTGGGGCTTTAGACTTAAAGAATATTGGAATTGGCAGAGATGTTGGAGAACATTTTGTTAAATCACCTCTTTTTATAAATAAGGAAACAGAAAAGGGAAGTGACTTGTTGAAAGTCATATTACCCTATGTTATTTTTCAGCCAATGTTAAGAAACACTTATTTTCTAAATGAATCTTGTAAGATTTTGTTACTCTTCAAACCCTGACTGGCAGATGTAGCCTTTATAAATCTGGTTTCTCAGAATATACATGGGTATATATTTCAGGTCTCTGTGAAGTAAGGGTTGTATAAGCTGCTGTAGGGAAAAAAATCTTATCTTTCCAAAAGATTAATGTTTATCTTTATTTCCTTTTCATCATAGGCATTAAAGACTATTCCAACTGGCCAACCATACCTCAAGTGTATCTTAATGGTGAATTTGTTGGTGGTTGTGACATCCTCCTCCAGATGCATCAGAATGGAGATCTAGTGGAAGAACTGAAAAAGCTGGGAATTCGCTCAGCACTTTTAGACGCAAATACTGATCAAGACTCAAAATAAAAAGCCTGCAAGAATCCTCTTTAAGAAGAGTGCTCTATGACTGGAAATGAAATTTTTTTAGTGTCAAAGACTGGTTACCAGAACAGCCTTACTGGTTTTTGTTCTCATTTTTTTTTAGGAAGGCAACTCTTTGTACTGACACTAAACAGTATTGAAGTGATTTTAGTTTCTGTCTAGTGTTTTAGGCTAAGGATATTCTGTTGTAAATTTAATTTTAACTACCGTGCTGTAATAATTGAATATTATGTTTTGAGACAGATATAAAAAAATCATTCTTTTATTGTCTTATACTCTTTGCCCAATGCAAGAGTAAACCAAAAGATTTTGAGTCATCCTAGTCAATTATTATTATTATTGATTCTAAGTATGTGTCACTCAAGGAAACATATGTAGCCCTTTTAAGGAAAATGATGGACAAGGTAAACAATGATGACTGCTGGGTTTTTGGGTTTTTTTGTTTTTTTTTTTTATAAAAAATAAAAGAAACTGCCAGCCCATGTAAAAGGTCTTTTTTGGTGAAGCTTTTACAACTTTTTATTTATTGTGTATTGTATTTTGATTTTAATAGTAAAAGTAAATGGACATTCATAATACCCACATTGAATGAACCACAGTTCCTAAGTAGAAATACCTGTTGAAAGTATTACTATTGCCTATAACCTTTAATATTTCCAGTGATTCATAAAAATAGGATTTTAAGGTTCATGAAGCACACTGTGCATATTTTATCTTACTTGTTCCTTACAACAATCTTTTGAGCTTCAGGTACTACAGTTATCATTAGGTACATGTTAAAGGTGAGGAAACAGACTCCAGAATTGCGACTTGCCTATGGCCACACAGCTGGTAAGTGTCATAGGTTGGATTCAGACCCAGGTCTCAACTTGATTCTATATCCAGTGTTATTTTCACTATAGCACACTACTTCTCAATGTTTTCCTCTCGCTATTAGTTTTTTTAAAAAAATATAAATACTATGCTTGTGAATAGTGATTTCTCTCCTGGAACAAGGCAAAATCTCATTATTATTGGTGTTCATAAGTGTTGGAAATCCCGAGTGTTTTTAGCCATTTCCTCAGGGTTAAATATGATATTGTACTGAACAATACAAAATCCATGATCACGGTTTATTAGATTAGTCAAAGACTGATTCATGTATTTGTAAATCACTAATCTGTAACATTGAAGTTAGAGTAGCAAGGTCAATGAGAATCAATAGGCCTACTTTAAACAATTCTCCATTCTAAAGCCGTGGAACCATATAGTCTAAAGATAACTTTTTAGTCTTTTCTAAGAAATTAATTAGAATTTCTCATATTAAGTAATTCACTTGACCTGGAAAAGCACATTTATAGCTATGTGCGGGTTGTGAAAAATTACTCATTATTGCCCATATAACTTAAGTAGGAAAAATCTATTTGAAGTGCAAAAATTTGTAATGGAAATGGAGGAAGGAACTGTGAAGTGTTTTTGTTTCGTTTTGTTTTAAATAATCCTCCACAAATCACTTAACCTCTTAGTGCACTAGGCAATTCCTAAGACCTTAAGTTGCAGAGAAGGTGCCAACTTGCATTGGTAGAGGGTTTTTACTCATTTGAGAGTTTTGTATACTAATGAAATCACAGGTCCAGACTTTATTTCTATCTCTTAAATCACAAAGTAAACATATAATACTGGGAGAAAGACCTATTTGAATGAAAAAGAGTTCTGAAATCACTTCCAGAGGTAAATTAAGTAATTTAAGAAGAATTTGGGAAGGAGGAAGAAGGAGCATTGTGGAAGTGCCCAACCAGCAAGCAGACCAGTGAACTTGCAGATCTCTTAGCTGGTTTGGGAGCTTCTCCACAGGGGAGAAATGTGACCAATGGTTCAATGCTGAATATAGTAGGACTTCATTTGGCAAATTCTAATCACAAAGGAAAACTATGTACCGTGACTTAACCAAGGAGAGGAACGTAGAATAGATGGATAACAGGAGAGATAGTTGGGCCCTAACCTTTACTACCAAAAGGGGGATGGAAAGAAAAGGATACAGTCAGGAACACAAAATCTTAAGGCTGTGGCAGGAATCACTTCAAAATGGGCCTGCAAGAGGCTGCCCCCTTCTTGATTTGGTGAATCCTTACACCAAGTTCCTGCTCTACACATCCAAGTTGGATGGGACTTCTAAGTCCTCTGCCACTTTGTATATGAGGTCAGCTCAGGGATGCAGAAAAGGGCTAAAAGTTTCATAGGAACAGATGCAGTTTTATCTGATTGGCCCAGAAGTTGAACATTTCCAGTATGGAAAGTTCAAGGCATGGAAGATTGTAGAAAGAGAAAGGGGTAGCATTTAGGGAAAAAGGCATATGTAGAATAGAGAATGCTTGTCTCAAATAAGACTTAAGTCAAAGAACCAGATGCTGCTGTAGCTTATTCTTTTCAGTTTGATAGGAATTTCAGTGTGGAAAGTGAAGGCCCAACCTTCTTGATCTCAGGGCTTGAGTTAACTAGAAAGCACCTCTTCACCAAATAAAGTTGGAAACCTTTGATTTATAGAGTATATTCCAGTGAAAGTTTGCCTGTGCTAAGGTAGAGCTTTATATCTTAGGATATTAGTACAACCTCTACAGTGATTCACATGGATATTTTATGTCAGGTGCTGTGGAAGGAACATTGGGACAGGAAACAAAAGAGCCTGAGTTCAAGGTCCAAGCTCTAATTAAATAGCTGTATTACTTTGGGCAGATCCTTCTCTGTGGATTTCAGATTCTTTGTAAAATGAGTGCATTAGACTAGCCTATCTCTGAGTTCCCCTGTACATCTAATATGCTACAGTTCTATCAAGGAAGGTTGGCCAAAATAATAGTTCGACTAAGAAAATTTTGCAGCATGCTGAGATTGTATGAATACACTGGGGAGCTTAAAAATTCCAAGAATAACAGGACTGAGGGGGGGAAAAAAGCAAAACTTGCTTTAATATTCAGATTCCCAGGGCCCTTTTATAGGCCATTAAAAGCACTAAAGTGGAAAATGGTTTAGATGTTATCTAATGTAAGCCTGAATGAGTTCTGCATGATTACAGTTCATTGGGATAATTAGAACACTGTAATGTACAAACAGCATTTTCACATCATAATCCAATGTAAAAGGCATTTTCTCTACTTCACAAGTTTAATAGAGTTCTTTATCTAACTCTTAATCTAAAAAGCTGGGTTGGGATACTTATTCCTATTAAAAAACAGTGCCATTTAGGTTTTCTTTTCCAGTCATTGACTGCTCACTGTCATATGACATCAGTAAAGGAAACTTACAGAAAGACTACAGAAAGCTGGTGACTAACCAACAAAATATTAGGTTGATCTAAGCCCAGTGCAGAGAATATCTTGATATTTTAATTAAATAGTTTCAGGGTTTCCACTCCCACCCTTATTAATGTTATCACTGAAGGCCCAGACACCTGAATTGAATCAATCAGGCTAATCAAAAAGTGTTACATAGGTATTAAGGAGTTTTCCTATAACCTCACCATAATGTGTAAACAAATTATTAATAAATGATTTGAGAAGTTTATAGGATTTTAGCATTGGCTAAAGGCAGACGACATACAGAAATACCCCTAGGCCTTTGTATAAAAATGATAGTCCAGCATGGAGGCTGTCAAATGGTGGTCTAACATAGAAGTGGAAGACTAAATTAGATGGTTGGGGATTCTAGGGAAGAGGGAGAGAATTAGCATTTATATAGTACCTACCATGTGCCAGGCACTGTGCTAAGCTCTTTACAGATATCTCATTTGATCCTCACAACTTTGAGGAAGGTGCTGTTACAGTTGAGGAAATTGAGGTGAACAGATTAAGTGACTTGCCTAGGGTCACAGCTATCAAGCATCTAAGGCCAGATTTGAACTAAGGTCTTCCTGATTCTAGCCTCAGTTCTATCCATAGTGTCACCTAGCTCCCTAGAGTCAGAACCAGTCCTCTGAGGGAATCACTTTTGGGAGATGAAAGATTCTGGAGAAACTGAACTAGTAGGAGATAACACATCCAGCCAGGAGCAGAGTGACACATAGCATGACCCCAGGGTGACAAATAGTGCTGAAAAATTATGGAAGGAGATAGCTATGAACGCAAGGAAGGACTTCTAGGTCATAAAAGTGTTAGGAGATGTTAGTAATCACAGGGGTATCCTGCACATATATCATACTGCCATTATACCATGTCCACTGTTTTCAGGGACTTTTTTGTATATTTGTGGAAGATTGTGCCCCAAGAATGATGTACCAATTTATTTTGCATTATCAACAATCACTTCCATGAGCTTTTGAGTTTTAAATTTTTCTCCCCCTCCCTCCCAACTTCCTTCCCCTACCCAGGTCACAATCTGATATAGGCTATACATATACATTCCTATTAAACATTTTCACATTAGTGATGTTGTAAGTAAGAATTAGAGCCTATAGGAGGAACCACCAAAAAGAGGAAACAAAACACAACAGAAGAAAAAAAATAGCAAATAGTATGCTTCAATCTGCATTCAAACTTCATAGTTCTTTCTCTGAATGTGGATAGTATTTTTCATCATGAAGCCTTTGGAGATGTCTTTAATGCTTATGTTGCTGAGAAGGGTTAAGTCTATCGATATTAGTCATCACACAACGTTGCTGTTACCATGTATGACGTTCTCCTGGTTCTGCTCACTTCACTCAGCATCAGTCCATACAAGTCTTTCCAGGTTTTTCTGAAGTCAGCCTGTTCATCATTTCTTATAGCACAATAGTATTCTATTACATTCATATACCACAACTTGTTCAGCCATTCCCCAATTGATGGGCATCCTCTCAATTTCCAATTCTTTGCCACCGCAAAAAGAGCTGCTATGAATATTTCTGTACATGTGGGTCCTTTTCCCATTTGTATGATCACTTTGAAATGTAGCCCTAGAAGTGCTATTGCTGGGTCAAAGGGTATGCACATTTTTATAGCCCTTTGGGCGTAGTTCCAAATTGCTCTCCAGAATGGTTGGATCATTTCACAACTCCACCAACAATGCATTAGTGTTCCAATTTTCCCACATCTTTTCCAACATTTATCATTTTCCTGTTTTGTCATGTTGGCCAATCTGATAGGTGTCATGTGGTACCTCAGAGTTGTTTTGATTTGCATTTCTCTAATCAATAGT